ACACCACTTGCCCACTTGCCTGCACCACTTGACCACTTGCCAACCTTCTAGAAGGACTGCAGCTAGCCTTCTAATCTACAGGTCTACGGATCGAATCCTGGCTACCTATAGACCTACGACAGACCTACCTACCACTGGCGGTTCTACAGGTCGCAGGTTCAACTCTTCGAGTTGACGCAGGTATTGTACACAGGTAAGTTGGGGAACTAGGGATCGAGCCCTGGGATCTGCCTCAGCTACCACGAATTGGTGAATACCGTTTCACAAATCACAATCTTCTAAGAAACTGGAGGTGCGACCCATGTAGCCGCACAACCACACAACAGACCTAATTTTCCTTTCTTTATTTCAAGAGTGGCATGGTGCTTGATCATTGTTTTCAAATTAGTGCTGCTTTTCTTTCTTTTCTTTTTTTCCCCCCTCCGCAATCGGATCAAAAGGACTGCATTTTCTCAGAAAAATGCAGAATTCTTAGACTGGAAATGTGTGGGTCAATGCATGTGTGTAATAGCTGTGGCCAACGGGCCCGTTCTATCTGAGTATCTATATCCACATATAATTTAAGGAAGAAGAAGCGGGCCCCATAATGTGGTGCCTAAAGGCCCATCGAAAATCAGTACTAGGATTAGTTCCCCGCCACGGGAAAGTGGCCCTGCAGAGTAGTTGCAGCCCACGCGACAGGTGAGGAGCTCGAACCGCGGTGCAAGCAGGATAGTAGAGCAATGTCAAGGGTTGTGTGTTGTTTTTTTCTCTCCCTTCTGTTTTGCTGTTACAAGGAGATCATGAGCTCCAATAGCCTATGTATCCCCCACGGTCATGACCGCGGGGCGAAATCCACCCGGCGGTCTCGGCCGCCGGCAGTCGGACCTGGACGACGTTTTTTTTTTTTTTTTTCCCTCCAAAAGAAAGGGGTTGTAGGGTTCGAGCAACCCTTACAAGGCCTCTATCCTGGTGGTGGTAAGAGAACCACCGGGATTGAGGCTTTGCCAGGCGGGCCGCTCCATCTATTGGTGGGGAGCAACACCTGCTGGAAACCGGGTCCAGCGTCCCACAATATCTCTTTACAGAACAATCCATCTTGAAGGTGGCGCTACTGTGCTGGAAACCGGGTCCAGCGTCCCTAACTCAGTCTATTGTTCCATACCTGTTCTGCAGCAGGATCGGTTATTGGGAAGGGAACACTGGGGGGCACCGGTGGGGTCTCCTCCCATCCCCTCGCCTCCGCCATCCACCTACTATCCTCATGGCGCCTATTGTGTCTTTGCCTTCTGCAATAGGTTACGTTGAAAAAAAGCTGGAGCACTAGAAAGGCAGAAAAAGGAAAGGCTGAAAAAGACTGAAGTGAGCTACCAAACAGCTGAAATCATGCCATATCCTACTAATTCCTCTACAAAGCACCTAGTTAGATACCTCTAAGTCCCCAGATATTCCACCAGTGCCAGCGGGTGGGGGGGAAAGGGATCACCGAAATCCTGTGTGGGTCTCAACTGTTCGCTGGGATCCACCTTGGTCCAGTCCTTGAAATGAAGCTGATAGTCTCTTACCAGGTCTTCCTCTTGTCCCTCTTCATGTCCTTCGTTCTGCTGGTCCAACCTGTCTCCTGTCCAACTCACCTTCGCGACCCAGCCCTCCCTCTCCCCCCCCAGCCAGCTTTCACAAAACCGAGAAATACTGTTTTTAATGTCACCTCTGCTGTGCATCTGACTCAGATTTTCCTTAACTCTCTGCCATTGTGCCGTGATCTCATGCTGGAAGAGCAGCCTTATCTGTTCTGTGACTTCCCCCTCCTCCACCCTTGCCCCCTCTAATTCCAGGATGCATCTTCGCCACCATATGGCCCATAGGATAGTACGCCTGCCTAGAGAGTACATATTTGCTACAAAGGCGTTGTCGCGAAAAGGGGGGTAGTGTCCTAGCAGGATTGCCCTCGAGTCCCACGGCCATCATGGGCCTGGAACGATGTGCCGCCAGATCCTATCTCACCATCTCCATAACAAGACCGCTGCAGGGCACTGTAGGAAAATGTGCTCAATCGTCTCAGGGCGTTTTTTTTCGGGGAAGTTTTGGCGGCGGAAGCGCCCTTCCTTGCTGTTCGAGTTGTGTATGATCCATCAGCCAGTCATTGGTCGGTAGGCAGCGATGAGTGATTTGCCATTGAAGAGCGGAGATTTTCGCTGGCCTGTTCTGATACTCGCTGAACCATTGGATAGGTTTGAGTGTGCTTCTATCTACATTTAGATGGCGCTGCCATCTGTCCGCCACCACATCTTTTAGCCCACGCTTGGGTCTGAGCATTCGGTAGACGGACTTCGTTTTTAGGGTGGCTAAATGGACTGTTCCCCCCCCCCCCCCCCCGTCCCCGCCCTACCCTGCCTTTCCACGACCATTGCCATTCTTGGGGATCAAGGGGGAGATTCTCGATTGGGCTCATTGGACGATACACTCTCCAACCACCTTTCCCTTCTTCGATCACCCGGATGCGATAAACTTCTGATTTTTCTTTCCAGATGAAGGGTTGTCTGCTTTCTTGCAGCCGCCCTGTTTCTGTGATAGCATAGCATTCAATTAGGACTTGTGCTTGGTCCACTGTGTGTACCCGGCCTATTTGTGATTTGTGGCCCGGTAGCTCCACCCAATCGTTTTCTTCCAACGTTGGGCATTTCTTAAGTCTGGTGTATCATTGAATGGGGAAGCTTTCAATGAGTTCTTCCATTGTGGACTCGAGTGAGTGGCAGTAACGCAGGCATCTTTTCATTCTTGCTGCACTTTTCCATTCTCCACTTTCCTCATCCCAAAGGTCCCCCACCCTGAGTACCCCATGTTTCACCCAGTTTTTCCATGGGGAGTCTGAACTGTTCCTTACCTGGCCAAGAGAATCTGTGATTAATATATTGCTGAACAGTGGTTGCCTGATTATCTTTTCCCATCTGTCTGGGGCGGGGCGGTCGGGAAGTGGGAGCTTCCTCCACGTGTGCAGGAGACGTATCCAATGTTCCTCTGGCGGGTCCCCATTCGAGTATTTCCTGGGGAGTCTCCAGTATCTGTCCTCGAGCCATATTAGGGGGTCAATTTCTGGTGGGGTTTCCGGAGCCAGGGCCGCGATTTGTGTCAGTGCCAGGGGAACCCAGGGGCAGGAGGTTTCGAAAATAATATGTTGAATCCAGTGGATGCTCAAGGCCTGAAATTGTGTGGAAGGGTCCACTATTCCAAACCCCCCTCCGATCTTGGGCTGAACAACAGAGTCCCATGCCACACGACTGATGGCATGGGTATTACTACTATCCCCTCTCCATAGGAAGGTCGCCAGCTGTTGCTTGAGCGTCTTAAGCCCCGCCTTACTCATGGGCCAAAGGATGGCTCTATACCAGAGGGTGGCCAACAACCCTACAACCCTATTCTTTTTTTTTTCTTCTCAAAACAAAAAAGCAAACGATAGAAATTATTAGAAAGACAAAAAAAAAAAAAAAACTATGGTAAAATTTTTTGTTTTCAATTTTATTTCAACCTTGTTTTAGTGAACTTGTGCTCCATGTATTTTTTTTTTCAGTTGTCAACTTGTCATGTGGTTTGTGAAGTAAACAAAAAAAACAAACAGGAAAAAAGAAGGCTGTTCACAGGCCTGGTCCCGTTGGATTTGGGGCCCTGTGTGTGTGGGGGCGGGGGCGGGGGGGAGCACGACCTTTTTCTGTTGCTGCTTCAGATAAATGTCCGCATTTATCTGAAACAGCAACACAAAGAGGTGTTCCTGTTGTGTTGTCTTCAGCAGAGCGCAGAGAGAGAGAGAGAGAGAGAGAGAGAGAGAGAGAGAGAGAGAGAGAGAGAGAGAGAGAGAGAGAGAGA